AGAGTGGGATAGGCTGGTAACTAGAAGGTAATTTGGCAAAACTGACTTATCAGTCAGAATGCTATAATTTTGAGAAATCGGAAATAATCAATCTTCATGTACGCAGTTCTCTTTGCCGTCTCTTGAAGAATCACTTAATATTCATCTCGTATTTCCCTATTATTGTCCCTTCTGACTTCAAAAACTCTATTATGAACAAAGGAATGGAAACAGGAGGAGAGGAAGGAATGAACATTAATGGAGTGTCTTAAGTATAAAGCCTTGTACTAGGTGATTTTATGTATCTTACTCTTTACAATTTATTCTTCACCACTCTTCTTTTAAGTTGAGTTAAGTAATTTACTCAGAGCCACAGAGATGGTAAGAGACAGCATTAGGATTTAAAACCAACTTTGTTTAAATCCAATACTCATGCCAATTCTACTATTCTGTTGCCTTCCAAGCTTTGCTGCAGGGAGATCTAAGGTCTTCAGAGACCGTGAGTGGGGCTACTGAATGCCCAAGCAGAAGACTGGCCTCCCTTATCCCTCTTCAGCAAAAACAGCTCCACTTATATGTTTTATGTATTTATTGGGGCTCCAGGTAGAATTTTTGCTTTTTAGAAACTTCCATTATTAGGAAAAAGTTTGACAGTTCAGCTAGGCTATGCTGAAACTTCTGAAAACATATCCTCAAACCATCACAGAATTACTCAATTACTCAAGTAACAGATGATCAATATATGCACCAGAGGATGATTATTAAAGTCATCCTTATAATGTGAATTGGCCACTGCAGAATGCACCTTTGTCAGTGGGCTTATCCGAGAGCATGGTGAAGCCCAAGGTGGACTTGTGATGTGCCACAGTCTAGAAATAAGAAGCCCTTTCAATCTCTCATCTTTCCCATTAAGTATGTGTAACATTAGTCATGGAATTAAAACCTCTTTTATTCAGAGAGATAGCAGAGAGCTCTAATAAAAAGAAAACCTGGACTTAATAAAAAGACACGAGTCCAACAGCCCAAGTGACATTGGGAAAGTTAATGAACCCCTTGAGATTGCAGATTTTTTTTTTCAAGATTTTGTTTATTATTTGTCAGAAAGAGAGAGTGCACAAGCAGGGGGAGTGTCAGGCAGAGGCAGAGGGAGAAGCAGATTCCCCACTGAGCATGGAGCCCGATACGGGACTCGATCCCAGGATCCTGAGATCATGACCTGAACCGAGGGCAGACGCTTAACCGACTGAGCCACCCAGGCGTCCCTGGACTGCAGCTTGTACCCATTGATAGTTGCAATCAACATTAAAAAATGAGAAGAAACAGAGTTGAATATTTTATGAAAAATTTTTTCAGTTATAGGTGTGTGAGAGACAGACAGGCAAAGTCTCTATGTGGTATATATTTCTTACTTTGGGTTTCTGCCAGAAGGGTTCGCACGCCATTGCTCTCAAAGGTACTCTTTGTACTTTCTCTGATACGCGGGATGGGGATAGTAACATGGCTGTTACATACTGCACAGAATGAGGTTTTTCAGGAAACTTCAGTAAAGTGCTTTATAAATTTAATCTGCTGCTGAAAGTAAGGATGAGTCATGTGTTTCACCATAACATAGTACCATCATTTTCTTTGGCCCATATTCACATAAATCTCTCAGGAAGAGTAATGTATTTGAGGTCAGGCTATTAGATGAACATCCTAAACAATTCAAATTTAATTTTATATTTTCTTTTTACTACATCAAGATAGATAAGTATTTGACACTATCTTTCTATTATTGCTGTGATATATTTAGATGGAAATAATTGAATTAATAAAGCAATGTAGTTTTTATAGCCTCTGCGATAGTCCTTTAAAGGAGACTGACATTATTGGTTTGCATTTCAGTTGATATCACAAATTGACCTATTTCTTTTCTTTTTTAAAAAAATATTTACTTATTTTAGAGAGAGCGTGTATGCACGAGAGTGTGCATTGTGGTGGGGGGGGGTGCAGGGAGGAGCAGAGGGAAAGGGAGAGAATCCTCAAGCAGAATCCCTGCTCAGCACAGAGCCCCAAAGGGGGGCTTGATCCCATGACCCTGAGATCACCACCAGAGCTGAAATCAAGAGTCGAACACTCAACCAAGTCAGCCCCTCAAATTAACCTATTTCTACTTCCGTTTAGACGTCGTCAGTATCCCAACTTACCAACTACTTTCCAAATACCTGTACTTACACAATGACTTTATATCGGTAGCATTATGTCTTAAAGCAAATGTTTTCAGCTCTTTTCAGAGCCTGCCTTCCCTCCCCTTTCAGACAAACAGAGAAACAAACAGGTAGACAAACACTCCTTTTCTCAACCTACCTGCCTATTTCAATGGTTTTACTATTAAAACTCCTTGGCTAAAAATATTGGAGCTGTAGTTTACACCCTCTGGTTATTAACTCCCTAAATCCAACTTGTTGCCAAGCTTTGTTTTTTTTTGTTTGTTTGTTTGTTTGAAATGTCCCTCTTACAATCAATTTTCTCTGAGACTACCCTAGCCACCAACCTAATCACCTCATTGCCAGAAAAGCTGGAAAAGCTTTCTCTGTGTCTTGCATCTGTTTGGGTCTATGTAAATTTTCTTATGGTATTTTTCTTAAAAAATCACTTTACTTCTTGCCCAGGACTCACAAAGAATTTATGGCTCCCATATTAATTTCAGAATTTCCCCTGGTTATCACTGTCTTCTATAACACAGGTCCATCATACCCCTCATTCACTGATTCACTCATCCAAACTTATTGTTTAAGGAGAAAGTGAAGGATTTATTTGATCTGAAGAGAAATCACATTATCTAAACCTTTTAAATTTCTATTTTTGCTAGTTTTCTTATTAGGTACTGTGAATATTAATTAAGTTGAGCATAACAGTCTCCATCACTTAAGAGTGTATGCCTTAATGGCAAAGACAAGCAAATGCATAATCATGATGTTTTATTACAAATCGTGCAGTACGAGGTGGAAGAAAAGGGAGCAACCATCAAATCTGATTTCCTGCTAGTCCCACCCCCCAATCTTTTGCTTCAGCCAGACAAGTCTCCTGTGAAAATTAATCACACTTTTCAACTCTTGCTGAAAAATATATGTGATCTTTGACTTATTTTTTCCATCCAAATACCATCCATCTTAAAAGACTCAAATTATCCTACCTTTAACCTTAAAACATTCCTTCCCCATTTCAACTCTTACTCATCTCTTCTTCTTCTTACACTTGTAAGAGGTTTTGAAAGCATAGTATAGGGGCACCTGGGTGGCTCAGGCAGTTAAGCGTCTGCCTTCAGCTCAGGTCATGATCTCAGGGTTCTGGGATCGAGTCCCACATCAGGCTCCCTGCTCAGTGGGGAATCTGCTTCTCCCACTGCCTCTGCCTCTCCCCCTGCTTGTGCTCTCTCTCTCTGTCAAATAAATAAATAAAATCTTTAAAAAAATGCTCAGTATATAGTTGTATTAGTTTTATATAAATTTTGTCTCCACAACTGAATTACATTTTCTTTGAGGGCTGTTTCTTTGTTTCATCAGTATCAGACTCAGTCTGAAGAGCCTAACTATCTTCCCTAAGAAAATCAATAAATAAGCAGCACTCTTACTTTAAAGAAACAAAATGGAAGACTTCAGGCATAAGCCTTAGCTAAATAACCTCATTTTGAGAGACACATTTACTTAACCTCTTCTTGTATATTCACTGTGAGAATCATTATACAATGCTTTTCTCCAGGGAAATCAAAATACTTTAGCTTTTCCCATTTAAGTGAGGAATTGTTGGGAAAATTTGGTTATCCAACTTCCTAGTGTTTTGCTATATTTAGTGAGTTCTACATGGCAGGATTTTTGTTTGTTTTTGTTTCTTTGTTTTTTTTTTTAACCACCTGGCTCATGTAGAATGTGTAGATCACTTCCATTTGTAGAGGCTGGTTTTTGAAGCATTCTGGTTAACTTGGACGTCACCTCTTGACACATCCTTGTACCCTGGGTTCATCATCATACAGTACATTTACAAGCATACGGACAACTTCTTTATCTGTTATTGAAGAATCTTTGTTATTTCTAAGAATGTGTCCTTTTCTTCAGAGATATGACTGCTGAAGAAGACATTCAGCTGATCCCATGACCCTGAGATCACCACCAGAGCTGAAATCAAGAGTCGAACACTCAACCAACTTAGCCCCTCAAATTAACCTATTTCTACTTCTGTTTAGACTTCGTCAGTATCCCAGCTTACCAACTACTTTCCAAATACATGTACTTATACAATGACTTTATATCAGTAGCATTATGTCTTAAAGCAAATGTTTTCATTGCCTCTGATGAGGACAATCTGGAGCGATATCTGCCTGTACCAGAAGCCTTGTGCCTACACCAACAATCCTAATTTTGCTAACAGCCTGTTGCTGTCTAGGCTACCTCCAGATAAGCTCAAGTCAATCTCAGAGAAATATTCAAATTTCAAAAGCCCAGGATTTCCCACTACAACATACTAGTTGAGAATAATTCTAAGTTGCAACAGTGACAGAATAGTTTCTGCTCAAGAAGTCCCAAATGAGACAAGTTATAAGCACTTTCTACCCATGCAAATTTCACAGTTCCTCAAGATTCTCTCCATTTACCATCTCAATCAGAGTGAATGGAAAACTAGATGAAAGGATAAAATGGGGATGAGGTCAAATTTGACAATAGCTACATTTTTTGAGGAGCATTTACTATGTACCAGAGATTATGCTAGACACTTTAATACATTGTTCATCTAATCTTCATGAAAGCTGTGTAAAGTAGGCATTACCTCCATTTTATAAATGAAGAAACCGAAACTCAGAGAAGTTAAAAGATGTGCCCAAGGTAACAGAGCCAGGATTAAACTCTACTCTCTAATTCCCTGAGTCCAAGCTTTCAAAGATAATACAATATTGCCTTTGACATGCGATAATACAATACAGTAGTCAAGTTGAGATAGGAAATCTGTGATTGCCATATCCTAACAAGTTAGTGATAATGGTTTACCTGTGGTCCAGCAAAGATACCACTGAGGAGCCAGGCCAAGCCAATCATGGACTGCCCAAGCTTGCCATTGCTTTTCATAGCTAGAGGCCTCGTGATGGCCAGGGAGCGGTCCAGGCTGATCACTACCATCATGAAGGCTGGGGCATACATGGAGAAAAGCTTCAGGTAGCTGAGGACTTTGCAGAGGAACTCCCCAGCATGCCATTGGACTGTAATGTTCCACATTCCATCCAGTGGCATGACAATCAGAGTCTCCACCAGGTTGGCTAAGGTCAGATGTTTTAAAAGCACCTTCATTCTCGAAAGCTTTCTCCCTTTCTCTTTCTTTTGAGTCCACTTCTGAAGTTTCAACAAGAAAGAAGCATTAAAAGTTGTAGAGAGTAGAAAAAGGAAGAAAGTAACTGTCACTCGGATCTTTCCAGATAAGGTCAGGGTGGGAAGGTTGCCCTGCATCAGCGGGTTGCTGTGGTTTACGGCTGAGCAGTGATTTTGATTCTGTTCAGGAGAGGCGCTTGCCATATTTCCTGACCGACAGAGCTTCAAGACTTGTGTTTCTGGCACTTGTGATGTTTTGTCGTAATCTAGCCCAAAACTCCGTTTTATTTCTGCCTTCTTTAGATGGAAACATCACAGGTTTAGATTTACGTCAAATTTTGTCCCTGAGCTACTTTATGTTTAATGTAAAAGATCAAGGTGAACTTGCTTTGCGGGCTAATAATCCAACAGAGTGCTAAAACAGAGCATGTCGAACACATTCTGAGGGCCAAATGTAACTGTAGTACCTCAGCAGATGGCCTGGTTTTCACAACATTTTTCCTAAGTAGAGAAGGATATGTGAAGCTTAATTCTGAATTTAAAATCCACTCATGCTATTTACATAACTTTAATAAAGAGATTTTCTAAAAACTATTAAATGTTCCTATTCTGTCCAACAGATACAAAATGAAGTTGAAGAAAAATACTAAAAAAGAACTTAATCCAGTTCAAATCTGTTGTTTTAAGAAATTAATTCATTTCTCAAAAACATTTGTTTTTCTCTTTCAATGACACACTGCTGTACATTCAAACACTAGACAAATATGTTCATTTAAAACCATCTTCCACAAAACATCTAATTAATACCTTTACAGAATTAATTTGATCTAATACAAATTCGTCTGCATTCAAATTTATCTATTGATCTAAATGGCCTGATTATCCATGCTTAGGCTGCAGTAAAAATGATTAGCTCTTTTTTATTATTGCCTTGCTTTTATAATTGTTTAAATATTATACTTGCCATTATTGCACATTATTGCATAAGGTAGCTAGATATTGGAGACAATACTGTATAAATGCTGTACCCACATTTATATATATTTATATATAATATAAATATTTGCTTAAATTCCTTTATACGTTATCTGATCATTTCAAATTGGGGCCACTTAGAAACTCTCTGTGTTACTGCTTTAGCGTTCATGCTGGGTGTTTGATGATATTATTTACTAAAACTGCTATGACTTACACTGGAATTTATTAAATCACTAGCTTGATTTGTCTTTTGTGAACTAGTTTGCTTTTGTGGTAGCTAAAGCAGGAATAACGTTAGGAGTATAGGTGACTTGGGGCATCTGGGTGGCTCAGGCGGTTAAGCATCTGCCTTCGGCTCAGGTCATGAATTCAGCGCCCTGGGATTGAGCCCCACATCAGGCTCCCTGCTCAGTGAGGAGCAAGCTTCTCCCTCTGCCCCTCCCCCTGCTCATGCTCTCTCTTTCTCTCTCTCCCCCAAATAAATAAACTCTTTTTTTTAAAAAAGAGTATAGGTGACTCTTTTGACTTAGATGGTCCATTCTTGTTGGTTCATTTATTTTTTTCTGTCTTATATTGATTTATTTAATAAATAGTTACTAAATACCTGCTACATACACTCTTAAACTTTGCAGGTGACAAATTGTGCACATGGCATCATCTGGGCCCTGCAGGAGATTATTTGGTACTACAGAAGATTAGATAAGAGTATTGGATATGTCTGTGTGCCTCTTGGACTCCCTCTGCATTGGCTGCCTCCTGCATCTGGAGGAACGTAGAGTACTTGCTTTCCTGGGCTCCCTCTTGGCTGTCACTTCATGCCCAGAATTCCTGGCTTTCTCTCAAAACTTCTAGACTTGAAGGAAATATTATACTGCAGGATGTGGACTCTGGTTTTCTGAAGGGTCTGGAAATATTTTCCAATGGAGTATTTTGGTTCTGAAATGGACTACTTCAGAATAATTAGTGAGAGGAATAGATGAGTCAGAAATTTTGAGACGTACACCTTTTGGAAATACATCACGTGTGTTTCTAAGCACAAATCTAGCATAAATACAGACTTGACTCATTATTTGTGGTAGTTCTATCAAGTTGCCATGAACACTGAATTGATGAATACCGAATACTTCCTCCAAACAAAAATACGGGGTTAGGTTCTCGTGAGCCACAACCATTTGCATTATATATGTTCATTTGCCAACATCCTTGTAAAACAAGGAGTCTCATTATTGAAAATCTGCTTTTTCACATAACCCTTTTCCTGTGTAACACTTAGCAGATATTTAAAATATTGTTCCCAAGATTCCTGATATGCAGGAATTGCCACACCTACAAGTTGGACATTTTTCACAAATATGGCCTTTTGAATTGTGCAGGTCAGTTACCATAATTTTTTTTTTTTTTGGCTTTCACTGTCAGAACAAAGCTGTCCACTATATTTTTAAAAAAATTAATCCTCATCTCATGAATCCACACATTTTTCCACTTTTCCACTTTTTCCATGGCTTCATCACACACTGATTACGCTTTAGGACTCTCGAGAGCAGCCACATGTTCATATCAGCAAATGTTCTCTGCCTTCTTCTGGATGTACTGGATTGTTGATTCCCAGGGTCCTGGGATCAAGCCCCACATCAGGCTCCTTGCCCCGGGGAGGGGTGGTGGTGGGGGAAGCCTGCTTCTCCTCTGCCTGCCGCTCCCCCTACTTGTGCTCTCTCTCTCTCTCTGTCAAATAAATAAATAAATAAATAAACCTTTAAAAAATAATACACGTATTTTCTCTGTAAGGTACATCGTGGTCTTCTTGCACTTAGGAACACTGGACAGCGTTTCAGCACTCTGTTTGGGGCCATTTTATACAGTGAAATCACTAACAAAATGCACAAAACTGTGAAAAAACATGGCACTAAATATACTACGGAAAGGAAGCTTACTTATAGTATGAAAGCTGTAATAAGAATTGCACATCGGGCCACTCAAATTTCTCCCCAGTCTGTGTAAACACGTGTCTGGGAATAATCACAAAAGCACCGTGGATATTGATTTGGGGTTACAAATGGATTTTAGCAAATAGGTGAATTTGCAAATAGTAAAGATTGCCTGTACATAAAAATCAGTAAGTAAAACCAGGAAGTTAAAGAAAAACAAATTCCCACTAGAGCTTCCAAGTAAGTTAAACTGTATTACAAACAAAATGTTTATAACATTAAAAAACATAGTGTTTTCACCCAGAACTTCACAACAGATTGAAAGAAATACTATTTGTTGAGTTCTCAGCTGTTAGGGTTTAGGGGAGATAGTGAAATTATGTTTATATAGAATATTTAAAAAGGCATTTTTTTACATCTGAGATTTGTGACCATAAAACTTGTACCTTCTATATTAGCTATATGAGGTTCCTTGTAACAGTTTATTATCCTGAAGAACTCAAAAGGCTTTGCATACACATCATGTCAGTTAATCTGAGCAGGGCCATATGCCTGAAACCAAATAAAACAAGGTACCCTTGCATAGATTTTACAAATTGGAAAAGCTTTTATATGTGGCCCAGAGACCAAAAGAAGAAAGGAAAAATTGTTCATGATAAAATCTGATTGTACTGAAGTATATTTTGCCTTTTGCCTCTCATTTAGGGACAGAAACCCTTTCTCACATTCATTTCCCACATTGTAAAGTAATGAGGAAACCAGAAGACGGTAATGTCAGAGAAGTAATGGGAGGAGAGAATTTCAGGAGAGAGGGAGCAATCCATACATCAAATATCTTAGTGACAGATAAGGGCCCAAAGAGAGTTAGTAGGATGAGACAGTTGGGAGGTCACTGATGATTTGCCTAAAGAGAGTTAGTAGGATGAGACAGTTAGGAGGTCACTGATGATTTGCCTAGAGTAGCTTTGGTGATTTTGGTGAGAATGGCTATTAGAGAACACATGGAAGTGGACATAAAGAAAAAAGAATTTTAAAAACAGATGTGTAAGTCTTGAGGGTGTTTAGAGATTTAGAGATGGAACCAGTAGAGAGGGAGAACAGTCAAGAGACTAGGGCAGATGTTGCAGAAAAACGAGAGGACAGATCCCTTAGGGGAGCTGATTATGCAATGAGGCACTAAGGAGTTAGGGTTGAAGGAAGTTAGGGAAGTTAGGAGTCAGGGAAGGAAGTGGATCTATGAAAGGGGTGGAGGTAGGGTAGACTGAAATAAGAGGGAGGGTCAAGAAAAGAGAATCTTGATGGAATGAAAGCAAGTTATAATGGAGTAAGGGAGTCTTAAACCTAGGAGGATGTAGATAGAAATTTGAATTTAAGATTCCAGATGTGAAGTTGTTCTGATTAACAAGAAAGTACAGGGTGTGGCCATGAAAGTGGATAGGTGAAGTAGAGGGTGAATGAAGTTTGATGTCATGTTAATTATGTCCTTTTTGTTGCAAAAAAAAGAGACCCTCTTAAATAATAGAGGCCTCTTTCATAATATACAATGCCTAGAAAGCCAACAGGAACCCAGGCAGTTCCAGGGAGGAGCAAATCTCTGTTTCATGACCTGAGTTGGTCCTCAAGCATGGTATCTTTGCTTTTCTTTATATTATCTTCTCCATCCTCTTCTTGTACCCAATTGCTCAGCTTTTTCTGGATTGCAAGTCTAAATTCTGAGGTGAGAAACAGAGATGGCAGTTTGGAAGTGACCCAGAGGAGCCAAAAATAGATTTTTAACATCTCTTTACCAACAAGACTAAAAAAATAGAAGAAGGCAGGTCTTTTATTTATTTATTTATTTATTAATTAATTATTTTATTATGTTATGTTAATCACCATACATTACATCATTAGTTTTTGATGTAGTGTTCCATGACTCATTGTGTATAACACCCAGTGCTCCGTTCAGTATGTGCTATTTATTTATTTTTTATAGCTTATTTTTTTAAATTCAATTAGTTAACCAATAGCGTTTCATTAGTTTCAGATGTAGAGTTCAGTTATTCATCTGTTGCATATAACACCCAGTGCTCATCACATCACGTGCCCTCCTTAATGCCCATCACCCAGTTACCCCATCCCCCGCAACCTCCTCTCCAACAACCCTCAGTTTGTTTCCTATAGTTAAGAGTCTCTTATGGTTTGTCTTCCTCTCTGATTTCATCTTATTTTTCCTGCCCTTCCCCTATGATCCTCTGTTTTGTTTCTTATATTCCACATCTGACTGAAACCATATAATAATTGTCTTTTTCTGATAGACTTATTTCACTTAGCATGATACCCTCTAGTTCCATCCATGTTGTTGTAAATGGTGAGAT